GACCGTATTTTCTATTGCCCTACACCAACCCTAACCCTAAACCTACCCCTCACAGGAAACTTTGTGCATTTTTAGATTTTCAAAAAAACTCATTCTGAATTATTTATAAGCCTTTTGAATTACGGAGACACTGAAAATGTCCTCATAAATCACCTTCTCGTTGTAATACCTATGTCATACCCATGTTATTATACAAATTTGTGTCCTCATAAACCACATAAACATGCACACACACACACACACACACACACACACACACACACATAAAACAGTAATAAAAGCTGAGCGCCAAAGGAAATGTCTCTACAATTAAATCGGCTCTTTTTAGTTGCCTTGGGAACAGGGATGTTTTGATGAAAGGATACAGTCTGCTAGCTAGCAAATATATAAATGCTACATGATTCTGGTCTGCGATTAACATTCCAAAGGTCGAGAGGTAAGCAAACATGCACAATGTACTTAAAACATCAGTTTCTATTTATCAGTCTTTCTGCAAAATCGCTTATTGTATTCATTACAAGGACTGAGACAGGAATGATCACGCAAATTGTTTGCAAAGACAGCTAATAAGTGGTTAAGCAAATGAAGCCCCACTTTATGATTTTTTTAAACGTCTATCCAAGGAGAGACCAACAGAAATATGATGCATGATCGAATTTTCAGTTTGAATTCGAATAGGACAAAATACTGACCTAGATGCTACAAAAATGGTATGAATGAGGTATGAATGAGGTGCCTATAAGAGATCTGCTGAGCTCATGCTGTAAAGTGGAATGACATGCTGACGTGGCTTAACCCACTTCCACTAGCCTCATCTGTCTACTGTCACAGTCATTCTGACCTTCCTGACGTTGGGACGGGACCAAACAGGCTGTTGCAACTGTAATACATTCAAGAGACTGATACATAGGGACCACCATCAGATAAGTCAGACATGATCTGATGACATGCAGTTTATGGGTTTAAATCACTTTATTTAAGATTCAGTCAGTAGATTTTTTTTTTGTTTTTGAAAAAAAGTCTCTTATGCACACCAAAGCTGCATTTATTTTATGAGAAATGCAGTAAAAACAGTAATATTATGAAATATTATTACACTTTCATTACACAAAACTGTTTTCACTGAATTTCTTCAGTGTCACATGATCCTAGAGAAATCATTCTAACACACTGATTTGGTGCTCAAGAAACATTATTATCAATGTTGAAAATTGTCTAATATTCTTGTGAAAACTGTGATACATTTTTAACAGGATTCTTTGATGAATAGAAAGCTGAAAATAACAGCATTTCAAAAAGAAATCTTATAAATGTCTTTACTATCACCTGTGATTATTTAAATATGTCCTTGCTAAATTACAGTATTTATTTCTTTTAAAAAACTTCCTGACCTCCAACTTTGGAACAAAAGTGTATGCAAGTATATTTTCCATTCTGTTAACGTTTTTCATCATTATCAAACACCTTTTTGCTTTCAGTACTTCGTTGTAATTTGATCTTTGATTTGACAAATGAGTTTTTAAAAGTGCAAATACCCATGTCTTCAAATAAAGTGTGCTCATAAAAAGGTGCATGTACAATAATGAGCAGTCCAGTTAAAAATAGATTTAAAAGTTGTAAAGCAGCTCCCCTTATTGCAAAAGGTCAGTGCCTTTCATCAATAAAATACCAGAGCAGCATTGAAAACAAACTTCCATTACATAAAAAGCGAGAAAACTACTAGCACATATTAAGAAGTGAAAGCTTAGGGGTGGAAATCTCCTCTGCAATCCCAGCAGCAAATCCGGATGAAGGGCATTAAATAATATTTAGACAAGGAGTGATATAAAAAGAAAACAACAAATGTTCAGCATGCCTGTAAAGATTTGCCGTATTGCCCTCCACTTCCGCTCACGGTCCACAAATTTAGGCCGAGGGCAAAGGCCAAACTGCACTCATGAAATCTGATTGTAATCCCAACATGGAGCTGAAAGACTCAGCTGGAATTATCAAACAGATTCATACACTTATTTAAAACACTGCCAAAATTAATGTGAAGATTTCATATCAACAAGATAGGACTTGCTTCCCTAACCCAAATTAACTTCCTCACCACATTATCGACTGCAATCAATGTCATCTTCAGTTTTCACCCACTCTAGTTGAGCATTCAGTGAAGTGTAAAACTGTTGCCATAGCGACAAAAGGGCTGATGTTTATTTTCAGAGAGGGCTCCGGAAGGGACAGGAAGGAGTAATGAAGACTCAGAACAGCAGACCGAGGCATTAGCTGAGACTCAAAGATACCACAGTTCATTTATTTTATTCCTCACATCAGGCTTTTCGGAGTATAAATGTAAAATCTACTGTGGGTAAAACCCACAGCTAAAATCCTTTTCCACCATCTTCCCATGTGTATTGCATAACTATGCCGTCCAAAGAAATGTGACTCATGTAAAAACACTTCCCAGGGTTCCCGTCTATTATTTCACTGAGATTTGTCCGTGCAAATGTGTATCTACACAGCTGCCAAAAAAAAACAAAAAAAAAAAACAGATAAAATGATGAGAGCTAGGAGTCAGATAGAGCATTGCTGAATCAATTGCACAGATAAATTGTCTACAAAAATCAACTTTTAGCCCCGACAAGCTAGGAGTAATCGTCTGCATTTAAATTTTCATTGAACTGCTTCACTATAATATTGCTGGAAACATGCTCACTAGTCACGCTCCATATACCGTTAATCAGTCACATATGGATAAGGAGGCCCGCTAAGATACTTCAGCCCACACACACAAACACAACCTTGTATACCCTTGAGGGGCTTTCCCATTCATCTCTGTTAATTCTTAAAGGGTTAGTTCACCCAAAAATGAATTAATGTCAATTAATTACTCTCCCTCATGTTGTTTCAAACCGGTAAGACCTTCGTTCATCTTCGGAACACAAATTAAGATATTTTTGATGGAATCTGAGTCTGAGAGCTGTCTGACTCTGCATAGACGGCAACACAACTGAAATGTTCCCAAGTCCAGAAAAGTAGCAAGGAGATCTGTAAAATAATCCATGTGACATCAGGGGTTCAACCGCAATTTTACAAAGCTACGAGAATACTTTGTGCAAAGAAAAAAAAACGACTTTATGCAACAATTCGTCTCCTACACCCTAGCACCATTTTGGAGAATATCCGCTGGACGTAAACAGCGTATGCTGTTCTGTGTCAGCTGCATCACACCGGATCTGTTTCCTACGTTGTTGTGATTTGATCTGAACGGAAACAGCGTATCCATGTGACGCAGCTATCAAAAGATAACAAAAATATCTTAAAGGGGTCATATGATGCGATTTCAAGTTTTCCTTTCTCTTTGGAGTGTTACAAGCTCTTGGTGGTTCATGGAGAAGTGCATCTGGATTATTTTAGATAGCCAACCGTATGCCACAATATGTCGATATGAACATTGTTCGCAATGCATATTTTCCAAAATATATCAATTCTGAGTAAATGCATTATTTAATGATATTGATATTGGATTTTTTTTTTTTGATACAACATTCACCAATAATTCATTCACAATAAGACCAAGAATGTGTATTAATTAATTAAACATGGCCAATTTGTATTTCATTCTGATTGTAAGATGCATATATCCTGGAATATAAGATAAATTCGTTTTTTTTAAGTTTCATTTTAATTGATTAGTTTGTTTATTTGATAATATTAATATAATTTAATATTAATTACTTAAGATATTATCTAGCTCTACAACATTACAGTAATTTTTAGCATTTTTAGATACTGAGTAATACATTTTATTCATTTTTTTTCCTTGTACAGATGTCTTCACATGGTGATTTAATCGGGTCTATTTCTGGGAGGATGTCTAGAAATTTTGCCCCCACATATTTGATAACCTTTACACACACACCTGCAAACATCTACTAAGTGAAATAAAAAGAGGAGCTGGCACGAATGCTGTCAGCAAACACTGCTGAAAGATCGATGGCCATCACAAAGCACTACTCTTGTCTGTCCATCCATCTCTCTCTCTCTCTCACACTCACTTTTTCACCTTGAAGCTATAAACAACCCATGAGTCAACAGTCACGAGTGAGGTCAGTAAGGAGTGTCCACAGATGTGGACAGATGGTCTATGCCGTCTGCTGCATAGGTTAAGTTCTGTCCAGTTCGTGTCACACAACTGATTTTAATAAACTTCTTCATTTAAGAAACTTTGGTGAATCATTTATCAACAGGAATATCCAACATTCTGGAGAGCCAAAGTATTCACACACAAAAAAACAATCAGTTTTGTTTTTGCTTTCTGTAAAAATGAACCTAAATATCCTTAAAAAAAGCGATATTATCAAAAATACAAAATAAATACTTAAAATAAGACAAAAGTATTGTTTTCTTATTTTATTTTTGAAATCAAAATATATTTTTACTATAAAAAAAAGACTAAAATACTAATACTGAAAATGATTTTACAGTGCATCAGTCCTCGACAAAACTAAACAAAACATGTTCAAGGTACTGGTCACTAGTTTTCTAAAGATCAAAAATTTCTGTGTAAATGATTTGTTATTGTTTGTCCCAAAATTAAGTAACCCAATTAAGGCCACAAAATTCCTGCATTATTCCAGCTCATCAGCGCACCGCTACGTTCAGCTCTTGCTAGCTTTAATCTTAACCACAGGAGCGTAATTCTGTTTAAGGCAGTGTGACGTGCTCAGCTCCAGATTATTACTTACGCCATAACCCTGGTGATTTGGGAAGGGAATTACAAGGAGATTCAGACCAAGTAAGAGAGGCAGACACAGCATCCTTATGAGTAAGGATCAAGAATGCGGCATGCTCATAAAGGAAAAGGTTCTTCTCAAAGATGAGTTAACTGAAACTTTAATCCATAATAAACATAATAAATGTCCTCATCCTGCTTTTGAGTAGATTTTTATGCACCTGCTGTTTGTAAAAGAAATGAAATCATGAGTAGCATCAACAGCACATGCTCAATATATTGGTTACTATTCATAATCAGAATCAAAATGAGTTTTATTCACCAAGCGTGTGCAAACACAAGGAATTTTTTTTTTTTTTAAGGAGCTCTTGGTACAAACATACATACATACATAACATTGAGAACAGAAAGAATATTTAAATAAGTAAGACTAAGGGAAAAAAATAATAATGTGGTATGCATCTGGAACAGTAGATTTATGTACAGATTTGTGCATTTTTTCCTGTATATACAGCCTTTATATATATATATATATATATATATATATATACACAGGGATTGAAATTCTGATATTTGAAATTATTAAAAAAATGAAAAGAGACTTTAAATGTGAAATTAAAAACGCCAGTAGGTGGCAGCAAGTTTAAGTGAGTCATTGCGATTGAACTGAATCATTTACACGGTTGATTCATTCAGAAACAAAACAACGTCATGTTGCTCAGAGACGCAGAACAGTACTGTGGCTGGGTTTGGAATGTTTTTTGTTGGCGAAATAGCACAGAAATAGCGCAAAAACAGCCAATATGGTGTCTAAAACGTAAGTCTCTAGATATTAACTTATTGTTTATTGAACTGTTGTATAAAATAAATATCACATTTGTAACCATGCTGATTTTTTAAGAAAAAACGGCACTCTTCGTGTGATATTGATTAACTATATGAACTGATATAAATATATACATTTTCTGCCTCCTTATCTTGAAGTATGTGATCATTGTTAATGCATATTAATAGACTGAATCATGCAGCGAAAGAGCGCACTATAAAAGCACACGCGTACTAAATCCTGTGTTGGTCTACTCTAACCAGACTTCATCTCGTCGCGTATGCGTGCCTCGGTACTAGGTGTGTTTTGTTTAGCTTTTGCAATATACTCGATAATGTCATGATGTCTCACGAGTTCAGTATTTGTGCTAAACCTGCACAGATTTGGCCTGCATGAACTTCCCAAAGAAATTAATGAGTGAACATAACTTACGAAAAGTAACCCGGCAAACTGGCTAGTGATTTGACAGCGTTACCCTCATCTCGTCGCGTATGCGTGCCTCGGTACTAGGTGTGTTTTGTTTAGCTTTTGCAATATACTCGATAATGTCATGATGTCTCACGAGTTCAGTATTTGCGCTAAACCTGCGCAGATATGACCTGCATGAACTTCCCCAAGAAATGAACGAGTGAACATAATTTACGAAAAGTAACCCG